GTATTAAAAATCTTCTGGAGGACTTCAAAGGAAAAATCGACAGCAATACAATAATAGCAGGGGACTTCAACACCCCACTGACATCACTGGATAGATCCTCTAGACAAAAAATTAACAAGGAAACACAGACTCTAAATGAAGCACTAGAGCAAATGGATTTAAGAGATATCTACAGAGAATTACATGCCAAACTGCAGAATTTACATTCTTCTCAAGTGTACATGGGACATTCTCAAAGATAGATCACATGTTAGGACACAAACTAAGTCTCTACAAGTACAAGAAGATTGAAATCATATCAAGCATCTTCTCAGATCACAATGGCATGAAACTAGAAATCAATAGCAACAAAAACATACAAAGACATTTGAACACATGGAGTCTCAATAGCATGTTATTAAACAATGAATGGGTTACCAAGGAAATTAAGGAAGATATTGAAAACTTCCTGAAAACCAAAGAAAATGAACACACAACACAAAATCTATGGGATGCAGCGAATGCAGTTCTGAGAGGGAAGTTCATAGCACTACAGGGACTACCTCAAGAAACAAGAAAAATTTCTAATTCACTATCCTATCTGACCTCACAACTTAAAGAACTAGAAAGCAAACAAACAAACAAAATTCCCCAGAACAGGTAGAAGAAAGGAAATAGTAAATATCAGAGCAGAAATAAATGACATAGAGACCAAGAAAACAATTCAAAGGATCAATGAAACAAAGAGCTGGTTTTTCGAGAAGATAAACAAGATTGATGGACCCTTAGCTAGACTCACCAAGAAACAAAGAGAGAAAACCCAAATATGCAAAATCAGAAATGAAAGAGCAGTAACAACGAACACCACAGAAATACAAAGGATCATTAACACTATGAACAATTATACAGCAACAAATTGGACAATTTAAGTAAACTGGATAAATGTCTAGAAACACATAGTCTCCTAAAACAGAACCGGGAAGAGATAGAAAACTTGAACAGACCAATAACAACTAAGGAAATTAAAGATGCAATCAAGACTCTCTCAGCAAATAAAAGCCCAGGCCCAGACGGTTTCATGGGGGAGTTTTGTCCAACATTCAAAGAAGAACTAATACCCATTCTCCTCAAACTATTTTAAAAAATTCAAGGAGCTGTGGGTGGTTTGGCTGAGCAGTTAGAGCATTGGCCTGTGGTCCAGAGAGACCAGAGTTTAGTTCCCGCTAGGGGCACATACCTCAGTTGCAGTTTGTCCCGAGTCCTGGTTGGGTTGTGCGGGTGGCAGCCACTCGATATGTCTCTTTCACATTGATGTTTCTCTCTCTCTCTCTCCCCTTCCCACTCTATCTGAACAAAAAATGAGAAAATGTCCTCGGGTGAGAATAAAAAAAACACAAAAAACTTCAAGAAGAAGGAAGACTCCCAAATTCATTTTATGAGGCCAGCATAATTCTAATTCCAAAACCAGAAAAAAATACTACAAAGCAAAGAAAACTACAGGCCAACATCCCTGATGAACACAGATTCCAAAATCCTGAACAAAATACTAGCAAATCAGATCCAGCAATACATTTAAAAAATTATTCACCATGACCAAGTGTGATTCATCCCAGAGATGCAAGGCTGATACAATATTCGTAAATCAATAAATGTGATACACCACATAAAACCCCTTGATCATATTAATAAACGCTGAAAAAGCATTTGGCAAAATCCAGCACCCATTTCTGATAAAAACGCTCAGCAATGTGAGAATAGAGGGATCATATCTCGACATAATAAAGGCTATATATGAAAGACCTACAGCCAACATCATACTCAATGGGCAAAAACTAAAACATTTCCCTTAAGAACAGGAACAAGACAGGGATGCCCACTTTCCCCACTCTGATTTAACATAGTACTGAAGGTCTTAGCCACAGCAATCAGACAGGAAGAAAAAAATAAAAGGGATCCACACTGGAAAGGAGGAAGTGAAACTGTTATTATTCGCAGATGACATGATATTATACATAGAAAACCCTAATGACTCCATCATAAATCTGCTAGATTTAATAAACAAATTTGGCAAGGTATCAGGATACAAAATTAACATCAAGAAATCGACGGCATTCTTATACACTAATCATAAACTCACAGGAAGAAAAACTTAAAAAACAATCCCATGTACCACTGCAGCAAAAAAATTAAGATACCTAGAAATAAACTTAACCAAAGAAGGACCTATTTGCAGAAAACTATAGGAAATTGAAAAAACAAATAGAGGAAGATATAAAAAAATGGAAGCACATAGCTTGTTCATGGATTGAAAGAATTAACATCATTAAAATGTCCATACTACCCAAAGCAATATAAAGATTCAATGCAATGCCCATTAAAATACCAACGACATATTTCACAGAACTAGAACAAACACTTCAAAAGTTCATATGGAACCAGCCCTGGCCAGTTTGGCTCAGCAGTTAGAGCGTTGGCCTGCAGACCAGAGAGTCCCAGGTTTGGTTCCCGATAAGGGCACGTACCTTGGTTGCAGTTTGTCCCCAGCCCAGGTTAGGGTCGTGTGGGTGGCAACCAGTCGATGTGTCTCTCTTACATCGATGTTTCTCTCTCACCCCCCCCCCCCATCTGAAGATAAATGCAAAAATGTCCTTCGGTGAGGATTAAATAAAAAAAAAAAAAGTTCATATGGAGCCAAAAAGGACCCCAAATAGCCACAGCAATCTTGAAAACAAAGGAGAAAGGAGGTGGGATCACAATCCAGGTATCAGGTTATACTACAGCTACTATAATCAAAACAGCATGGTACTGGCACAAGAACAGGCATATAGATCAATGGAACAGAACAGAGAACCCAGAAATTGACCCAAGACATTATGCAAAAGTATTATTTGACAAAGGTGGTAAAAGCATACAATGAAGTAAAGAGACTCTTTAATAAACGGTGTTGGGAAATTTGGACAGCTACATGCAAAAAAATGAAACTAGACCATCAACTTACACCACACACAAGAATAAACTCAAAATGGATAAAAGACTTAAATGTGACTTGTGAATCCATAAAAATCCTAGAAGAAAATGTAGGTAACCAAATTTCAGACATCATACGCAGCAGAATTTTCACTGATACATCACCTAAGGCAACAGAAACAAAGGAAAAAATTAACACACGGGACTACATCAAACTAAAAACTTCTGCACAGCAAAAGAAACAACCATCAAAATGGAAAGCAAACCCACTGTATGGGAGAACATCATTGCCAATGATATCTCAGATAAGGGGTTAATTTCCAATATATATAGAGTGCTCATACAACTCAACAAAAGGAAGACAAAGAAGCCAATTAAAAAATGGGCAGAGAAGGTATATAGACACCTCTCCAAACAGGACATACAAATGGCCAAAAGATATATGAAGAAATGCTCAACATCACTAATAATCAGAGAGATGTAAATTAAAACAACAATGAGCCCTGACCGGTTTGGCTCAGCGGTTAGAGCGTCAGCCTGTGATCCAGAGAGACCCGGGTTCGGTTCCCACTAAGGGTGCGTACCTCGGTTGCAGTTTGTCCCTCCGATTGGTCATGCAGGTGGCAGCCACTCGATGTGTCCCTTTCACATTGATGTTTCTCTCTCTCTCTCTCTCCCTCCCACTCCATCTGAACAAAAAATGGAAAAATGTCCTCGGGTGAGGATTAAAAGAATAAAATAAAATAAAAATAAAATAAAATAAAACAACAATGAGGTATCACCTCACACCTGTCAGAATGGCTGCCATCAACAAATCATCAAACAACTAGTCCTGGTGAGGGTGTGGAGCAGAGGGGACTCTAGTACACTGCTGGTGGGAATGCAGATTGGTGCAGCCACTGTGGAACAGTATGGCGTTTCCTCACAAAATTAAAAATTGAACTGCCATTTGACCCAGTGATCCCACTTCTAGGAAAATATCCTAAGGGGCCTGAAACACCAATCAGAAAGAATATATGTACCCCTATGTTCATAGCAGCACTATTTACAATCACTAAGATCTGGAAACAGCCCAGGTGTCCATCAATAGAAAAATGGATAAAAAAGTTGTGGTATAGCCCTGGCCGGTTTGGCTCAGCGGTTAGAGCGCCCGCCTGCGGTCCGGAGAGACCCGGGTTCGGTTCCCGCTAAAGGCATGTACCTTGGTTGCAGTTTGTCCCTGGCCCTGGTTGGTCGTGCGGGTGGCAGCCACTCGATGTGTCCCTTTCACATCGATGTTTCCCTCTCTCTCTCTCTCCCTCCCACTCTGTCTGTACAAAAAATGGAAAAATGTCCTCGGGTGAGGATAAAAAAAAAAAAAAAAAAAAAAGTTGTGGTACATATATACAATGGAATACTATGCAGCTCTAAGAAAGAAAAATCTCTTATCCATTGAGACAACATGGAGAAACCTCGAGAATATTATGCTAAGCGAAATAAGTCAATCAGAGAAAGACAAATACCACATGATCTCACTTATTTGTGGAATATAATGAACAAAGTGGGCTGATGAACGAAATAGACCCAGAGACACAGAAAGGAGTATGGTTCAGACCAAAAAAACCTCAGAGTAGGGGGGTGGGAGGGATGGATGAGAGGAACCAAAGAACTTATATGCATGTATGCATCACCAATGGACATAGACAACAATACTAGGGCGGTGCGGGGCAGTGGGATGGGCAGATGGGCGTCTAGGGGTGAAAAAGGAGAAGCATCTGTAACAAAAATAAATTAACAAAAATTGGAGAAAAAAATAAAATAGAAAATAAAAAAAAAAAAAAAAACACATGTGAAGAAGAATATTCCAATCACTGGAGCATGTGTCTATGTGATTTGTCTTTTAGAGAAATGGAAAATCACATCTGAGGAGAAATATCAGCTGTACTTCCATTTAAGAACAAACTTCCTGCCTAAGGCTAAGGCCTTAGGGAAGCATTGAATTTGCTTGCTAGGTGAATGTAAGTTATTGTCACCTGCTTTTCTGATCCCCTACCCCGTACTTTGCTTTAACTTACAGGAATCATTGACACAGAGATCTTCTCCTTTGCCACAGTACTGCTTGCCCTTGGTTCGAAGGTTGGCCCTCACTGGATTGTCATCACTAGGTCTGAGGATGACACTGAAGATCTGCTTTCCCGTCCAGAGGGTGACAGGCTGAAGGAGGAAAGGAAGCTAGAGCCTCAACTGGCCAAGCCTGGTCTCAGCCACCTTTCATGCTAATAAGACAAGACTATAGTGATCACATGTAAACCTAGCACCAGCAAGGATTCATCCATATGGGCATATGGGGATGGACAGACAGATGGACACACTGACACACACACACACACCTGTGCATATACACACACAGCTCCTGAACAAACCTTTAAAATTGTAGGAGGTGGGAGGCGAACTTTAACTTTCTCATCCTTGCCAACCAGTATTGAAGCAATGATTTGGCAAGCCTTGGCTCGGTCAAAGAACGTGTCCTTTAGAGTGAGGAGATAGGCACCTACAAATGGTAAGAAACACACACACAAAGGACTAAAACTGTGAGGAAATAACATTTCAATTTTAACATAAATGTCATATTATTAAAAATGTGACAAAACAGCCCTGGCCGGTTTGGCTCAGCGGTTAGAGCGCCCGCCTGTGGTCCGGAGAGACCCGGGTTCGGTTCCCGCTAAGGGCATGTACCTTGGTTGCAGTTTGTCCCCGGCCCTGGTTGGTCGTGTGGGTGGCAGCCACTCGATGTGTCCCTTTCACATCGATGTTTCTCTCTCTCTCTCTCTCCCACTCTACCTGAACAAAAAATTGAAAAATGTCCTCGGGTGAGGATAAAAAAAAAAAAAAAAATGTGACAAAACATACAGCTGCTTATAGACTCTCCCTCCAGCTAGAATCTAAGCTCCACAAGTAAAAGGACTTTGATTTACTCACTGCTGTATTCCTAGTGCTTTAAAAAAATGTCTGGTCTATTGTAGAAATCAGTAAATTCTTGATTCAATGAGTAATCAACCAATACAAAACATCTCAAGTAGGTTTACGTTAAAGTTAGTAAACAAACAACAGAATTAAACACAGGCAATTAAATAGCTTTGTAAGCTGTCATATAAAACCACTGTGAATGAGAATCAGTGTTCCACAGTCTCCTTTCACGTGAATTTCACAAACCCACCTGTTAGAAAATCCTGAATAGCAGCAATTAGTGGTTCTCCATTCCTTGGAGTTACAAGATTTGCTTTCGTCTGAAGGAAAATGGATACAGTAAGTTAGCCATTCTTGAAGGCATGACGCAGTCCAAAGATCTGCACACCAAGACTAAGAAATGGAAGCCAGGGCCTTAATCCCAACTTTGTCACTAATTTCTAGTTCATCCATTTGTCGAGAAGAGAAAACACCAGAATGACAGACTTCAGAGGTTCCTACCACCAGCACTAAAATAAAATACCAAGTGAAGTTTTGGATTCCTGTAAAGAACTCTACCATCCAACACTTTATTTTTATTAATAAATGTACTTCTCCAGATAAAATTCACTTCTATGAATTAATATTGTGCAATCTTCTAAGTAAATTGATTCCATCCTTCTCCACAGTGATGTCAGTAGTGTTCAATTTCTCTTAAGACATTAAGTTCTAACAACAAACAATTCAGCAACAGGATTTAACTAAAATTTAATGAGTACCACATTAGGCAAAAAAAGATGCTAGTTGTCCAATGCATGGGTAAATTTACAGAAGGTTCTGTGTGTCCGAGTGTGCCTGCTCAACTCTTGATGTGGAGGTGCTCATGAGCACTTGGCGGTATTCTGGGCCTCTCTACCCAGAGTGAAAGGTCCTCCAAGGCAGACCTATTCCTGCCTTCTGAACCGCTACCCAGAGCAGTGATGCCCAACTAGGCAGGAGTCATCTGTTCACTTCTGGTTAAAAAAATTTCTCTGGGGTGGATATTCAGTGGTCTGGGGTGGGAGCAGGGTGCATGAGCCTGAGAAGAGCATATTTTAGAAAAGTTCCCTGGGCAATTTTAGCCACATTCAAGCAGAGCCCCACCTGCTCCACTGAGACAGGACTGCTGAATCAGTGCAGTAGCTAACTTTCTCATCAAAACCGGGAATTGTCCAGAAGGAACTATGGATTCTTTCACCCCAATGTCCTTGAAGCCTGTGTTTTACTGTTTTCACTTCTAATTAATAAATGTGTTGTTATACTGTCTAACAAAATGGATCTATAATAGCAAAGTCAATGGCAAAGTCTAACTGGCTGCAGGTTGATAGTTATTATAATTAGCAACATTCTAAACATTACTTTTTAAAAAATATTTTTATTGATTTTTGGAGAGAGGAAGGGATAGGGAGAGAAAGAGAGAGAGAAACATTGATGTGAGAGTGAAACGCTGTTCGGCTGCTTCCTGCACGCGCCCTACCAGGATTGAGCCCAAACCTACCAGGATTGAGCCCGAAACCGGGGCATGCGCCACCATCGGGAATTGAACTGGCAACTTTTCAGTGCACAGGATGACACTCAACCAACTGAGCCACACCAACCAGGGATAAACATTACTTTTTAATTACAAAAATAATATATATCCATTATTTTTTTGAACAATTTAAAAATATATACCATAAAAAAAAAAGAAAAACCCAAAACCTTCAATGTGTCAAATTGCCAAGCAAAAAGAACTATTGTTTTAAGATTTTGCTATAATCTACTAACTAAACAACTATGTATACAGCTATGTTTTTATCATTATTAAGAGCTACTAAAAGTTTCATTGTCTGGATGTGACATAATTTAATATAACCAATTTTTTTTGTTCATCCTCACGGAGGACATTTTTCCATTGATTTTTAGATAGAGTGGAAGGGAGGGAGAGTGAGCGAGAGAGAAATATCAATGTGAGAGAGGCATATCAATTGTTTGCCTCCTGCATGATGCCAACAGGGGCCGGGAATTGAACCTCCAATGCAGGTACGTGCCCTTGACCAGGAATCAAGCCTGTGACGCTTCGGTCCACAGGCCGATGCTCTAACTGCTGAGAAAAACCAGCCAGGGCCAACCAATTTCTTTTTGGTGGGCATTGCCTGTGTTCTATTATTGCAAACAGTTTTGGACCTCTATTTATTTCCTCTGGAGAGCTTACTAGAAATGAGAGTGCCAGGCAGAAGAATGACTGTACTGACCTATTCATCACTGACTCTACGAGTGCAGAACAAGAACTCATTCATGGCTAACCATCCTCCAACAATCACCCACCCATCAAACATCTTGTTCTCTCGTATCATCCACCAGTTCCCAACATAGCACTCATCACCACTGCTACAGATACTGAGACTGTGGAGAAAACAGGCGAGGTTCTTGTTTCCCCAAATGTGATCGTACCACAGAGCCTTTGCACCTGCTGCTCCTCTGCCTAAATCATTCTTTCACTGAGTCTCACTGTTCATTCTCCCACTTTCAGAAACCTGGCCCTCACAGACTATCCTAATACAAAATAGGACCCCTTCATTCTCTTTCTTCCTTACCCTGCTTGATTGTTTTCTTCCTAGTACTTATAACCTCTTGACAAAGTTTATATTTGTTATTCTCCATCTCTGCCCACTCCAATAAAAACGAAAGCAAGAATTTGACTTTCTTATTCACTGCTATGTTCCTAAGAGAGTGCTTATCACATAGTAGTGCTCAATCAGCCTCAACCACATCATTTTAAAAGGCCAAGTCCAAAGAAATCATAAAAGAAGACTCGAAATGCACAAAGATGGCCCTTGAGGGATTAATTCGCAAAGCAAAACAAGAAAAACACTTAAATTTTCAACACCAGAGAGTAGATAAATAATGGTGTACTAATCTGGTGAAATGCTGCAAAGCCATTATGACCAATCACAAAGACTCTACAACAAATTGGGTATTTACAATATGTTAAGCAGAAAATGAAAAACAAAGGCTATTTAAACCATAATAACATCCACCTATATTCATGGATAAGGAACAAACTGATTTAAGAGGTGGAAATAAAGTCGTGATGGCCTGGCTGGTGTGGCTCAGTGGTTGAGTACCAAGAGGTTGTCAGTTCGATTCCCGGTCAGGGCACATGCTCAGGTTGTGAGCTCGATTCCCAGTGGGGGGCATGCAGAAGGCGGCCAATCAATGTTCTCTCTCTCTCCCTTCCTCTCTAAAAATCAATAAAGAAAAAAAAAACTGCCCGGCTGGTGTGGCTCAGTGGTTGAGCGTCGACCCATGCGTCAAGAGGCCACCGGTTCGATTCCCGGTCAGGGCACATGCCCAGTTTGTGGGCCCGATCCCAGTGGGCTGCATGCAGGAGGCGGCCAATCAATGTTCTCTCTCTCTCTCTCCTTCTCCCTTTCTCTCTCTCTAGCAAAATCAATAAAGAACAAAAATTAAAAGAAAAAAAAAAAAGTTGTGACATGTAAAAACTTTATCTTATTTAGCTCTGGCCAGTTTGGCTCAGCGGTTAGAGCATCGGCCTGCGGTCCAGAGAGACTTGGGTTCGGTTCCCGCTAAGGGCACGTACCTTGGTTGCAGTTTGTCCCCGGCCCTGGTTGATTGTGCAGGTGGCAGCCACTCGATGTGTCCCTTTCACATTGATGTTTTTCTCTCTCTCTCTCTCTCTCTCTCTCTGTGTCTCTCTCCCCCCCCCCCGCATCTGAACAAAAAAAAAAAGGAAGAATGTGCTTGGGTGAGGATTAAAAAAAACGTTACCTCATTTAAATAACTTCCATTACTATGCTAGAATGTTTAAATAAATAAGAATCAATGTCTTAAGAATTTGAGGATTGCCCTGACCGGTTTGGTTCAGCAGTTAGAGTGTCGGCTTGTGGACCAGAGAGACCCAGGATTGGTTCCCGCTAAGGTCACGTAACTCGGTTGTAGTTTGTCCCCGGCGTCGGTTGGGGTTATGTGGGTGGCAACCAGTCGATGTGTCTCTCTCACATTGATGTTTCTCTCCATCCCTCTCTCCCTCCTGCTCTATCTGAAAATAAATGCAAAAAAAAAAAGAACTTGAGGACCTCGTTTATTTTAGCATATAAATTTTAGCTTATAAAGTTTATTTTAGCATATAAATTTCTTAGAATTATTAAATTCTCTAAAGCAGCGGTGGGTCATGACCCCTTTGGGGGTCAAACGACCCTTTCACAGGGGTCGCCTAAGACATAACAGTAGCAAAATTACAGTTATGAAGTAGTAACAAAAATAATTTTATGGTTGGGGTCACCACAACATGAAGAACTGTATTAAAGGGTCACAGCATTAGGAAGGTTGAGAACCACTGCTCTAAAGGATAATTTAAACATGTACATACACTACATAATACATTAAAAATTTCATTGATCAGAAAAGATATATCAATTCCTGTCATGAAGAACTCTGGCAAGGGCCATGAATACAGCTCCTCCTTCTCATGCTCACCAAATCTACACGGATTTTGACAGGTTTACTTGCAGAACCTAATCACTTTTACTTTAGAATCAATACTAACACCCTAAACCAAAGTAAATTAGAAGTATCATATTAGAAATGGTAGTATTTTCAGAGGAAGAAACCCTTACAACCATAAAACACATCAGTTCGTGATAAAGAAAACTAAAATACTAGAAAAAAGAAAGACTGAAAGACCTGAGTTCTGAAAACTCCACAGGTGGGGCAATTACATTTGGGAAGACAGAGCCCTACCCAGCAGGTAGCACACACCACTGTGTGATGGTGGGTTCAGGAACAACAAACAGTACACACAAGACAAGTTAGAGCCCAACTGTAAGCTCCCCAAGAACAGGCATCTGTCTCACTCATCGGTGAATTACCCTGGCATCTAATGGGCACTCCTTACCCATTAATCAAATAAAATGGTGGTAAGAGTCATTACAGCCTGGCTAGTAAGGCTCAGTGGATTGAGCGTCATCCCATGGACTTATAAGTCCCAGTTCGATTCCCGGGTTGCAGGCTTAATTCCCAGTAGGGGGCGTGCAGGACGCAGCCGATTGATGTTTTTGTCTCACATCCATGTTTCCATCTCTCTCTCCCTTCCTCTGTCTCTAAAAAAATAAATAAAAACATATAAAAAATGAAAAAAAAAAGAGTCATTACAAAAATGACTATGTTTAGTGTATCCTTCAGAAGACAAAAAAGCATTAATACACTTTAGGAAGGTTTCCACTCAAAATGTTCAATGAAACATATATATTGGCGCTTAAGGAATCTTTAGCTACTGAAAATCCACTTATGCAGAATGTTTTTTCCCATGAAACCCAGTGGTTAATATATTGCTGCTCTCTTGTCTCATCTTCCCATAACAGGTGCTCACATATATATTCTCTCAGGAACCCACATTATAGGTCAGGAAACATCAGTTCCCCCCAATAAGCACCTATTTACAGACACTAACTCATTTATATACTATGGGTGTTTCCCAACAGGGCATGCTACCTCTTCCCTCCTTTCATGGAGCTATAAGCTGGTCTGCACCACCCTACGTACCCCCATTAGAACAAGGGCCTCTGCTTTAGCTTCTTCTGTTTGAGGAAGATGAAGATTCATTTCATCACCATCAAAATCTGCATTGTAGGGTGTACACACACACTCGTTAAATCTGAAGGTCCGGTGGGGCTTGACCCTGGCCTGTGGAAGACAAAACAAGAGAAGGAGTTAGTCACTTATCCAAAAGCTTCTCAGTTTCAAAACAATAAAAATGGTTTCCTGCAAAACCAGAAAACTTCAAGTATGTTCTGTTAAGTGTAATATGTCACCTGCGGACTCACTCATCACTGCAGTGAACTTATTATAATACCGTGAGGCAAACACTAACACTGGAGCCTTGAGAAGGGGCTCTCCCTGGCTCATGACTTCACAGTTTGATATCAAAAAGATCTGCGGCAGAAGCTGATTAAAATACAACAACTACAGTCTGGTGGGTGTGGCTCAGTAGATAGAGTGTCGTCCCACGGATTGACAGGTCCCAGTTCTATTCCCAATCAGGGCACATGCCCGGATTGCAGGTTTGATCCCCAGTAGGGGGCATACAGGAGGCAACCAATCGATGTTTCTATCTCTCTCTAAAAAATCAATAAAACATACTAAAAAAAAAGAGTGACTGTTCATTTTGTGAGGTGTGATGATGGTGCTGTGGTTATTATGTGTGTCTTATAGAAGTAAACTAAACATACATGGAACAAAAGAGATGGCATCTGGGTTCATCAAAGAAAAGAGGAAGACATGCAATAAGTAAAGCCAAATCAAGAAAATGATTGAATAAAGAGGATGGGAATATCTGCGTTCATCATGGCATTCTCTGAGTATCTGAAAATATTCAAACAAAAATTTTTCTTTAAAAAATAAAAAGCTCCAAAGCCAAACAGAAGCTTCTAGGAAAGGAAGGCTTCTGTTCCCCTCCAGATGCTGTAACATAACCTCGTACTGCTGTTCTGGTGTTTCCCGTTAGGTAACAAGACTGATGTAATGTGTTCACAAACTACTGAATCCAGAAAAACACCACTTTCCAAGCCTGTTTAAACACTGTTTACAAATGCTCATGGTTTAATGGCTTTAAAGATAAGAGAATTGATGAATACTTAACAAACTAAAGTTGCATCTTATTTCCATTTTAAATTCCCAGAAAAAGGAACTGCTGCTGTTGCAAAACTAAATCACAAAAAAAGTATATATATTTTTTTAGGGTCTTAGATGGAGGACTACTGCAAAGAAAATATTTGAAGCATTTTAGTGCCTTAGTTAATATGCTAAGTTAAATCAAAAGTCAATTTTCTGTCATATCTATTTTACATAAGTTTGTGCACACATATATGTATATATTTTCGTTTGCAAGTGAAATCATGCTAGCCACTTTCACACTAATTTTCAATTAGCTCCTCTCTGTTTTACTGTGCATGAATATTACATTATAAATATCAAAAAGCTTGAAATTTAAAAGTTCCCCTCAAATTAAAAAGTGAGAAAAAAAGAAAATCTAAAGTTATGAAAATGTGAGATTACTGGAATTTTAATTTTAGAAGTCTGGAATGTAGCATTGCATACACAGCATACTTCCATCCCACAGAAAATAAGAGAGAAACCTCGTACTCACCAGATGCGCCATGATGCTCAATTTGTGCAGTGAGGGCTGCCGATTGAAAAGCACCACATCCCCATCTATGAGGTGTCTCTCTACGATGTCCCCATACTTGAGCTCTTGAGCCATCTTTTCCCTATTTCCATATTTCAGAAACCTTCAGATACAATAATAAACATGACACGTGAGAGCCAGGTCCCCTCGCCAAGTTTCTCCCTCTTCATCTCAGGATCCAAACTCTAAAATGATCATATTTCATTGATCCTAAGGTGTGTCCAGGGCCATCAATTAAACTATGACAAACTAACTGTAAGATATAGCTTAATTTATCCCAATGTGTTTTGTCCATTGAGATCCAGTAACACTAAATGCTAGGGAATAAATTAACATTTCATGTATATTCAATCATTAAACAGGCAAATGGCATACCTAGGCTCATTGCAATTTAAACACATATTTTCCACATGTGATATCCCAAAAACTGTACTTTGGACTGAATTCTGTGGTTAAGTATGGAACAGTGAGCGTGGTCACGAGAAGGCAGTTACACCAAACTAAAAGCATCACCTTTTCATCTGTGTGTGTCTCTGCTGGATGAAATTGGCTCCTGGGTGAACTTCAGGTCCATTTTGAACCAATTTCCTCAAAAAGTTAATGTTTGCTTTGTTTACCTGCAGGACCACAATATATACTATTAGATTATACTTCTTATACTTCTATCAGTTGTTCACTATACTGAATTGTGACTCAATCTTTACTTTCTGTGTGGTTCTGGGAAGAAGAGCAGCAGTGTCCTGGCGCATCCTGGTGCCGAGGGTCTTGAGTATAATGACAATGACCTGGCACACAGGGGCATAGGTTCCCGTCTGAACTTGGTCACGCACTCACTGGATGACATGGCCAAGCCCTTCACTGGCCTTTGGTATCCCCATCAGAAAAATCAGTGGGCTAGACTTATCCGTGAGAACATCCAGCACACACTGTGATCCTAAAAACAGGTCGCAACTACCTCTGCGATGCTTTACCATGGGCTTCTACGGTTTCAAAGCTGTGACACCAGCACAGAGGCTCTGGTCTGCATCGCTGGGTCCCACAATCTCTGGACGAGTCTCCTAGAACACCATCTCAGAACAGGAAACTCTGGGTCATCAGCAATGCAACTGAGGACACTTGACACAAGTTTTATCGGAACCACCTATGATCTGGGCTAAAAATGAATCTCAAAGGCAAAGCCAATTAATATCCTCTTGTTACTAGGCCTTGTACATCTCAGTTAAAAAAAAAAGGTACTGTATATTTTACACTCCTGATGAGTGTGAATTGAGGGTGAAGTGGTGCAGTCTTGCCGGTTATGCATCAATAGCCTTAAAATATTCAATACCTGACTCAGTGATTCTAAGGTTTCAAAAATAAAAATCCATCTCAAGATAGTTACTTTACATCATGAGGTATGAAGCAATACAGAAAGATGTCAAAGATGATGGTTGGAAAAATGGTTGCAAAATAGTATATTTAACATATTTATGAGTACATACACAGTTTTGGTTGTACATGCTGTAGATATTACATATGGTGATAGATGTATAAAACATGAAACAAACTGGAAAGATACACATACTAACACACAACAAACTGTGGGTTGGGGGGTTACTGGGGATCTTCCACTGTCTTGTTGTTTGGAATCTTAAAATATATTATAAAAGACTGGATTAAAACAAAGAATCAAGCAGCTGAATGGTACTTACTTTCTCAGGAAAAGTTAGAATTTTGGCCACATGAACTGGCACAGCTACCTCATCAATCCGGAGGTTGGGGTCAGGTGAGATGACTGTTCTACCAGAAAAATCCACTCTCTTTCCTGAGAGATTGCCTCTAAATCGACCTAAATAAATAAAAATGTGTCACAGGCCCCCATGGCACAAAGTGTGCCATGTGGGGGCAATATGAGCAGAAAAACAAAGGAAAGTCTGTGATCTCCAATTAGACAAGCTGGGCATGCATTCGAAAACAAACAAACGAAGGCAGTCGACTGTCTCCCACACATTTTGTTGACAGCATACCCTGTTTTCCCTTTAGGCGCTGGACAAAACCCCTGGTCCACTTCTTGGGCGCCATGTTCAGGGGAATGCCGGAGAGCTCACTGTTGATGTAGAGGGCGCACTGCAGCTGCAAGAAGTCCCAGTCTTCCATGATCATCTGGGTCTTAGCTCCTGATATCCGATGCTAAAAATCAGCAGAGGATGAAAAGAAACCAGCCCTGTCAATTTGACTTCCTTAATCACAAGGATTTGCATAGATAAACTCTAAAACTTAGGGCTTACCAGTGCTAATGGGAAGCACTGACCTTTTTAATGACGTCATTTAGGAAAATGATTTCTGTCAGTTTCATTGTCAGATCATCTTCATTGGTGCCAGACTTCAAATCACTTACAACGGAGGGTCTGATACACAAGGGGGGCACTAAAAGTCGCGTGAGAATCAAATCGGAGGGTTTTCCAGCTTCTGGGTTCATCAGAAGAAGAGGAACATCTTCAGCTGGGATTTGCTTAAATAAATTCAGAACTACTAAGGGATTCAAGTTTTCCTGTGGAATGAAAAGACGTATGTTGATTTTTCATGTCTTGGGCAAGGGCTGACTTCTCCATGCTCTCTAGCCTATTCACCACTTAGAATGAGTATTAATTGATGACAGAGATTTCTGTTAATATGCTATGTTGCGTGAGCCCTTAAAATATGCACGCCTCTTATTCTCATTATTTAAACCAACAATTCCAAGTCTCATGATTTAAAAAATTAACACAAAGATTCAGCTACAAGGATGTTCACTAAAGCTGTTCACTAAAGTAGTGAAGTTGGAAACTGCCTGAAAGGTTACTGTCTAGATAAAATAATGGTACATCCATAGATGGAAAACTACGAAGCCATTAAACAAAACACGACCTGCCTTGAAAGGTCCTCACAAACGGTACATGTGTATAATGTGACCTCATTCAGGATGGCCATCTATGCAGAAAAGAGGAGATGGAAAGTTACAAGGCTTTAACAGTGCTGTCTTTCAGTGAGTGGAATTATAATCGTTTTGCATCTATTTTTACATTTAAATGTTCTGCAGTGAACTTATATCGGTCTGTATTAACTTCATTTAATAGAAGTGCCATGCTGTAATAATTTACTCATAAAAACTAGGCAAATTATCGAGGTATTCAAAGATCAAAGGTAAGAATGGTCAGCTTTGTCTTGTTGCTGCTTATTCATTTCTCTTGGGACCAAAGATCGTGTGACTGCGAACATATGCTACAAGCAAGGAACAGAGTTAAGAAAGAAATGTCTGAATGGCACTGCCCTTAGAACAGTGCCGCAAGAAAGAGTTGTGTGGTCCCATCCTGGAGGAAATGGCAGTGAGATTGGGGAGAAGGGAGATTTTCCAATCCCCATCTTGCCCAGAAAAGAATTCCCTTGCTCAGTTTTCCTGTCTCCTAGCAATGGGCACCTCACTACCACCGGAAGCAGTTAAGGAGGAGGATCTAAAATCGCGTTCTAGGAAGGGGATGAAGGCCAGCCATCACCTGCAGTACCAGTCAGTGCCAGGCAAGAACATCAAGGGAGGGCGGGAGGACTGGCAAGAGCCTGGAAACCATTTCTCTGCAAGAGCAGCTACTCCGAGAATGATTAACAACGGCTCCTAAGAGGCACTGGAGGAGGCTGGTGCCTTCTTCTGTTAGCACCAGGAAGCAGAAATCAGGGACCCATGCAAAGATAGCAGAGAAGGACTCAGTTTTTGTTTTTTTTTATCCTCACCCGAGGACATTTTTCCATTTTTTGTTCAGATAGAGTGGGGAGGGAGAAAGAGAGAAACATTGATGTGAAAGGGACACATCGAGTGGCTGCCACCCGCACAACCCAACCAGGGCCGGGGACAAACTGCAACTGAGGTATGTGCCCTTAGCGGGAACCGAACCCGGGTCTCTGTGGACTGCAGGCCGACGCTCTACTGCTGAGCCAAACCAGCCAGGGCAAGGACTCAGTTTTGTACAGGGTACAATAACCTAGCAGCTAGAACTCTGGTGATTAAGTGTGGGCTGCTTCGGATGGTAGTGAGGGAACATGGCTAGAAGGATGTCAGCCGGAGCAGACTGTCACTCAGTGTGCCAGGGACGTTGGGAATACATTTTTTACTTGGGGGAAGATAAGACTGATGGCATCTTGGAGGGACTTTGGTCTGCAGGTCTACCAACCCCGGGATTTGCATTAAAATTGGGAGTGGATATACATTAGTCTCCCAGGGATAGAGTCCAGAGGTTCTGTTCAATTCCCAAATGAGTGCATAACCCAGACTCAACCACACTGTGCTGCCCTAAAGGCATGGGGTTCCACATTCCTGAAAAGTAAGTGAACTAGGACGATCTAATGATCTCAGAGGCCCTGCTATGCTCCAAGCACCATGACTGGCATCAAACACGACCTCAGAAAAATGCATCTTTTTACAAATCAAGCTTAAGCAGAAGAAACCTCCAAAAATACAAGACAGGGCGTAAGCGTTATACAAGGCACAGAAAATGTACACATGGCTGAGGCAAGGCTGAGACCTCAAGGGGATCCAGACAGCAGAGGAGGCAGCATGGAAGCAGCGAAGGGATGGGGATTCGGGTGATGGGGGGGGGGGGGAGGTTTCACTAAACTGAAGAGACACTATGCGTCTCAGCACACAGCAGAGGTGGGAGGAAACTTCACCTGTCTTCATCATGACTGTCACTATAGGAATGTTTGTAGCAGTGATAACTACCACTGCAACTGGGTGACATGCTCTGAGCACTTGCTAAGTGCCAGGCACTGTGCTAAGCACTTGATCTGGAATTAATCCTCACAAAAGCCCTAAAGCAGATATTCTTGTAATCCGTGTTTTACAGTTGATGAAACTGAGGTCCAGGTTGGGTCATGTGTCTAAGGTCAGAGAAGAGGTAAGTGGTGAAGCTGGGCTCTACTCTCAGGTCTGTCTGACCCCAAAGTCAAAATCTGAAATCACTACCATAAACCACCTCTAGGGAGGTTGGAGTTGGAGAATGTCCCAAGAGCCCAGCTTAATACACTAGACAAATGACTCTTAATAGAGGAAGTTACCTTCTAGGCCAAGTCATTGAGCAGACTTTCCCAAACGAGATGCCCCTGGTCCTAGAGGAGAATCACTGCTGCTGTGGAGAGTGCCAGAGTCCTCGGCAAGCAGGACAGTGGCCAAGGTTCTGGGCAGAGAGCCAGCAGGGGAAAAAAAGTGCTGATGACATGTCAGGGACGCTAAGCTGAGAGTGGCAGTGACTACAGAGGGGATGCAAGTAAGGCTGCTCCCAGAAAACCCAGGAGCCCTCATGCGAGCAGACCGAGGCTGCTTGCCAGCCCCTGACAGCTGTCTACATGGCCACCAGCCTGGAGAGTGCCCCCGTCATGCTGAAGGACACGATCAACTTGACTTCCTCTGCAGTGGCTTCATTCTAATTACTTAAAGATATCTCCACCTGAATGAATCATTGTTGCCCCCTCCCCATTTCCAGAACAACTCCTTCCCCGATGTCCACACTTGGGCACACCCTCACCTCTGATCACTCTCTCTCACATCCATCTCTACAGTGGCTGGTCATCCATTCCTGTCCATTCTTACTGTATATGATGACTCTGGCCTCTAGCTCCACTATCACTACCCAGGTTCAGGGTTGGTTTTCTCCCTTTTTTTCCAATTCAAAGCATAATTTATACACAGTAAGTTGTACAAATCTTAGAGATTTTAACCTTTACATGCATACACCTGCATGCACATACAGCACCATTCAGATCAACATCTAGAGTATTTCCATCTCTCCAGAAAGCACCCTGATGCTCCTTGTCCAGGCAGTGCCCTGCCCTCATCCCAGGGTAATGGCTCTCCTGACATCTATTACCACAGAGCAGTCCAGCCTGTTCTTGGACTTGATCTAAATAGAACCATATGCTATGCACTCTTTTGTATACAGCTTCTTTCTCCCAGCAGGATTCTGAGTCAGCCAGGTTTGTGTCAGAAGTTCATTTCTTTCATTGCAGGATATCCAATTGTGCAGCTCTGTGACAATTTGTTTATCCTCCTGTTGACAGGCATTTGGAATGATTCCAATTTTGGCTTTTACTAAAATGGTTGTAGTAAACATTTTTGTAAAAATATTTTTGTGCACATACATACGCACTCATTTCTTTTTAGTATATACCTAAAAGCAAAATTGCCAGGTCATATGGTAAGTTGTAAGAAATTGCCAAACTGTTGTTCAGTGGTAGTAACATTTACACTTCCACCATCATGAGTGCCAGTTGCTACAGATCCTTCCCTAAACTTGGTTTTCAGTTTTACATTTTAATTTTTCTGGGAGGGTACGGGTATACAGTTTTAATTAGCATTTCCCTGATGACCAATAACACTGAGCAACTTTTCATTTATTATTGGTCATCTGAATATACCCTTTTATGAAGTGCCAATTCAAGTATTGCTCCCACCTTTTAAAATCAGGTGTTTTTTTTCCTTAGTGATTTGTAAAAACTGTTCCCTATGTTCTGGCTATGAGAGTCTTTTGTTAGATTATGAATTGTGACTGTTTCTCCCAGTTGATGATCTGCCTTTTCCCTTTTGTCGTGGTGTCTTTTAAAAAGCAGCCAAATTCTTCTAAACTTTCGCCATTTATTCATTGTGTCCCTCCCTGTTCAAACCTTCACTGGCCCGCATGCCCCGAGCAAGAGGTCCCTGCGAAGCGGCCTCAGTTGGCTGTCTGGGGCCTGCGGGCCAATTGTCTTGGCAGAGTGCTAGCTCTCACTCTGTCATCCTGGGCAATGCTGTCTCAGCTGAAGATTAAGTACAGGGTGGGGCAAAAGCAGGTTTACAGTTGTTTATATGGAAAATAAGACAATAATAAGTAAATAACAATACAAGAACAAACCGTGTTTCCGTACTCAAAGCCGCAAGGCTTCTTTTGCCCCACCCTGCACGAGCTAATCCATCTAAAGAACTTGGAACAGGGCCTGTGTGGAATAGCAGTCACTAAATGCGAGATGCTTTTCTATCACGTTCTGGTCTTTCAGAGCCTCAGCTTCAGAATGAGCCTAGACACTGTCACCTGGACATCCCGGGCTCACTGTCCATTACTCTTTAAATCCTACTGACAGCCTGGCCAGTGTGGCTCACTGGTTGAGCATCAACCCATGCACCAAGGGGTTGTTGGTTCGATTCCCAGTCAGGGCACATGCCCAGGTTGTGGGCCAAATCCCCAGTGGGGGGCATGCAGGAGGCAGCCAATCAATGTTCTCTCTCCATCTCTCCCTCCCTCTCCCTTCCTCTCTCTTTAAAATCAATCAAGAAAAAATATTTAATAAATAAATAAATAAACCTTACTGACATTAAGAAACCAGATAAAACCACATCTTTCCCTATAGTTTTCCCTAACCAAATCCAAGGTGACATTTTCTTTTTGATTTCCCACTGAACTTACTGTCCTTGGCATTCTTGTGACAGCATGGAGGCCTATGATATTAGTTATCTTTCACAGATTAATGGCTATTGACATATCTAAACTGTGGGATCCTTGAGAACAGACCCGGTACGTCGCAGTTCCTGATGCTCCACCACAGGTCTGATAGAGTCTGATACTCAGTACCCACTCACCTAATTTGTTAGTTTCATATGGTATCAATTCTAGACAGTACTATGTGAATTAAGAACTAATCAAACTCAGAGCAAGGTGAAAACAACACACTTCATATAGTTCTGTTGGTTAAGTTTGTGCCAATTAAAGTACAGCAATGCGAATCACCTACAATTTCTTATGTCTTGTTATCTACACGAGAAATAGTTTATGCACTATGTAATCTTTTACAATAAAGATGTACCATGTTACCTGGACAGCTGAAAACTTGTTAGTTACAAGGCTAGGCCACATTTAACTTAGTGCTCACAGGAAGTATTCCTGGAGATCTAACTTCATTGGACTTCTCATTTTGGAAGGTGTATATATCAGAGGGTGGAGAGACACAGTGCCTGTAAGACCTGGAGGGGGAGGGGGAGGAGGGGAGGCAGGAAGAGGGTGGACCCGCATATCAGGCTCACCTGTGCCCTCCCTAGCAGGGGCTCCACTTCTTTGTTATGTTCAATGGCAGTTTCAAAAGACTGAAGGAAATTTGATACAATAGGATCTACCACTTTTTTGTTGGTCTTGTATTTCTCATGAATTATCTTCAGTAATCCACATTTCTTCACAGTACCTACAAGAATTTATTTATCGAGGTTAAATCAATTAGGTTCTTGATTAGGCTGGCCTGAGGCTGCAGCCTGGTAAATGTTAACAACGTTGCTAAAATTGCTACAGCAATGAAAGATGAAAGGTGCACCCTGGCCGCGTGGCTCGGTTGGAGCATCATCCTGTACACAGAATGGTTGCAGGTTTGATTTGTGGTCAGGGCACATGTCTAGGTTGCAGCTACAATCCCCAAGGGGGTGTGTACGAGAGGCAACTGATTGATGTCTCTAATATAGATGTTTCTCTGTCTCTCTAAAAGTCAATTAAAAATAAAACAAAACAAAACAAAAACAGGACCAAAACATCCTTGAGTGAGAAATAAAAAAAAAAAAAAAAAAGATAGGAGGTGCATTTCCTAACTGTGCATCAATTGCTGGGTTCTATAGCCTGATTTGCAAAAAAAAAAAAAAAAGTTGACTTGTAACACTGCATAAAATAAGCTAAACAGAAAAGAATGAATGAAAAGGGTTATTGCAAACCTCTCCTGCATTCTGCTCACCATTAAAAGCGCCACAGTGATGGCAGATGTTTTTCTTTCGGCATTTATCAGAGATTTTCTTCTTCAGTCCTCGCTTCTGGAGGTAGGTCAGGCTAGGCCTCTTCAGATAATCCAGAAACTGCTTCTTTTCCTCCTGGGACAGCATGATATGGCAGCAAGTTTTGCAGATCATCTTTTAAAGATTAAAACAGATAAAAGGATAAGAGGATGAAACAACTATTTTCTTTTTAAAATGGCACCCACCCCCTTGCCCAGGTCACTCAACTAAGTGAGCACATGCACGGAGTTAATGAAGATCTGCACAGAAAGGCAGCCTGCGTTCATGAGAATGCTAGCCAGTCCCAGCTGGCTGGGAGGACTTCTAGCTTTTTTCTCTGTGTTTTCTGTATCACATGAATTATTATTTTATTATTTTCTTTCACAATGTTTATCTACCAGCCACTCAAGGAAATTCAACCAATAAAGAATCCTTAAACAATTTAATTTATTGAAGATAAAATATTATGTGTTTAGTATAAAAATTTCCCATAGATGTGTCTCCCTCCTCTCACAATTCTCTAAGCTCACTCCAATGTCCCTAATCGGTAACTCCCAAGTTCATGCCTGGGGTAGGAACACGCACAGCTTACCTGTAAGATGCCTATGACTGCTCGGAAGTAGCCCACATGAAAGCATGGCAGTTCCAGGTCAATGTATCCGTAGTGACCCAGACAGTCAGCCAAGTTTTTCCCGCAGGTTTCACAAGGACGGTCCTTTTCACTCGTACCCTTCGGATAAAAGCACACCCAATAATCAATGAAGACTACCAGACAGCAAAGTGGAGACCAGTCCTCACAAGTGGCCAAGTGACTCAGAACCAGAATCTCCTGGGAAGCTAAAGTGTATTCCCACCCAAATGACCAAGGGCTGGAGTCCCTGCGATGTGCAGGGGAACAGGGTGGCTGGAAAGAAGTCCTTATTTCTATCAATCTGGTAAGTGGCCAGTTTCATTAGCAAGTCAAAACACATGGAACCGAGCAGGGGCAGAGGTCTTACCATCCTATGGTCAAGCACCCCATACAGCAAGGGGGCGTGGTTGTTGTCCTGGCTGTACAGGTTTTTACTCACAACCTGGATGTGCGCCTGTTGGCGCATCTCCTCAGGCGACTTCATCCCGAAACAGATGTGGCTTCTGACAAGAAACAAGGAAGCAATTACATCAAAACCACTTACAAAAATGGTGATTACCTATGTAACCCACCATAACCAGCCATATCCTTCCAATTCTCTCTAGGCTATGCTACCCCATTATTTTCAAACCTCTCATTTTTTCCTTCATCCTGCTGGAACTGTTCCCACTCTATCAAATGAAATGGTGCTCACTAAGGTCACCAGGTCCACCTGCTTGCTGCTAAATCTATAAGAATATTCTCATTTTACCTAGCTGCAGCATTAGCAGTTATTGCCTCCCTGCCCCCTTATCTTGAAATACTGTCTTCTCATGGCTTTGGTGACACCATATTCCCTGAGTTTTCTTCCCTTCTCTGGCTGTTGCTTTTGTGGTCTCTTCTTCTATTGTCATCTCTTAAATATTGGCCTCTCTCTCCACCTGGGGTTATAACCCTCATCCTCTTTTTTTTTCATTCTATACATTCCTCCTGAATGACTGTGACAATACTTGAGTATATGCTGATGTCTGTCTAATCTTGTTCTGTAGGCCAGCTACTTTTTTCAGCTGGAGACCATATAGACACCTCTTCTGTACAGCTACACTTGGATATCCCACAGGCGCCTCGACATCTATAACAGAACCCAATATTTTCTCTCCTAAATCTGTTCCTCCCTTCACCCCCCCCCCCCCAAATTAGGTGTTTACAATGTGCCAGGCACCATCTTGAGGGGCTGAGAACACAGATTAGATAAAACAGACAAGGTCCTTGCCAACATGGAGCTCACAGTTCGGGGTGGGCAAGACAGATAATAAGCTGATACATGCAGAGAATAAAAATGATGTGAAGTGGTAGAGTGTGAGGAGCCTACTTTATGTTGCGTGGTCAGAAAGTCTCTCTGTAAAATTGATTTTTAAGCTGAATTTTTTTTTTTTTTTAATCCTCACCCGAGGACATTTTTCCATTTTTTGTTCAGATAGAGCTGGAGGGAGGGAGGGAGGGGGAGGGGGAGAGAGAGAGAGAAAGAGAGAGAGAGAGAGAGAGAGACATCGATATGAAGGGACACATCGAGTGGCTGCCACCCGCACGACCAACCAGGGCCGGGGACAAACTGCAACCGAGGTACATGCCCTTAGCGGGAACCAAACCCGGGTCTCTCTGTACCGCAGGCCGACGCTCCAACCGCTGAGCCAAACCAGCCAGGGCTTAAGCCGAATTTTTAACAAGAAGGAACCAGCAATTAGATGACCGGTGGTTGAGCATTTGAAATACAGCATAAATAAGGCAAGGGTCTTAAGACCAGAACAAGCTTGGCATTTTCTTTCTTTCTTTTTTATAAAGGTGTTTTTTTTTTGTTTTTTTATTTATTGACTGAGAGACAGAGAGAGAGAAATTGATTTGTTGTTCCACTACTTTACGCATTCATTGGTTGATTCTTGTATGTGCCCTGATGAGGGATCGAACCCGCAATTTTGGTGTAACAGGATGATGCTCTAATCAACTGAGCTACCCGGCCAGGCAAGCTTGGCATTTTCAAGGAACCAAATGAAAGCTGTATACTAGAGCATAGTAAGCTAATGGTACAAGATCAGCGAGGTGTGCAGGGACCAGGTCATGTAGGGCTCAGGAACTATGGTAGGGAATTTAAATATTAGTGCAATAGAAAGCTGCTAGATTTTATTTTTATTTTATTTATTTATAAAATGTTATTGATTTTTTTTTAGGGAGAGATAGAAACATCGTGAGAGAGAAACATTCATCGGCTGCCTCCTGCACGCCCCTCACTGGGGATGGAGCCTACAAGAGGGACATGTGCCCTGACCAGAATTGAACTGGGACCTCTCGGTGCATGGGACCTTGCTCATGGCACTGAGCCACACTGGCTGGGTGCTGCTAGATTTTAAACTGAACTGGCAGGGATGTGATCTGCATCTTAATAGAGTCACTTGGGTTGCTTTGTGAGAACAGATTACATCTCAATACAGGGGGAGGTTGGGGTGGTTGTGAGAGGCCAGGACAGATTTGGAGAGACAGCCTGGGAAGATTCATCCAGGCAAGGCACATGTTCCCCATTTCAGTGAATGGCAACCATCTACACAGCTGCACAAGCAAGAAATTCTGTGTGTCATCTAATTTCTCCCTTACCTGATACCAACTGTATACCCGACACCCCTTTGGAATCCACTTCTCTCCAACGCCTGCCACTCTGGTGCAGGCCGTCCTCACCCTCTGCCTGAATTCCTGCAGTGGCCCCCAAGGTCTCCCTCTTATTCCGTCCTCTCGAATCAAGAGATCTTTCCCACAACTCTGATCAAGCCACTTCCCTGCTTAATGAAAACCCTTCAAAGGCCCCTCACTGCTTGCAAGCTGACTCTGGAACACAGCTTCGCGTCTCCTGTTTCCTTCTCATCTCCCACTCTCCCTCCAGCAGGCTCCTGGAAAGCTGTTTGGTCTGTTTCCTTCTGCCTGAACCCCTTTCACAGTCTTAATGAGTGTGGGAGCTCCAAGGCTCTCACTGGGCCTCGCGCAGTTGCTTCTTCAGTAGACGTCTGCTGCCAGAACGAGGGGTTTCATTTTCCTACCGGGGGCTCTAGGAGGGGCCATGGCCTCATCAGTAAGCTCTGAGGAAGGCCCCGAACAGCGGCCTCCCTCCCGGAAGGCTATTCCTGCCCGGTGGTTCAGCCCTCCAGTGCCAAGGCCGTCCTCTGGCCAGCAACCCTGCCTCCCGGCCTGTCACGTGCTCTGCAGCCAAGTCCCTGCCCCCGGGGGCTCCCCACGCCGCAGTGGCGAGACTCGCGGGAAGAAAGGGGTCCTCGTCCGACCCCGGGGGAACTGGAGCTTCGGCCCCCCGGGTGGGCGTCGCCACGCCCACGCCACGGGCCGCCCTCGCCCAGGGACCCCCGGCGGCGGTGCCCGGCGCTGAAACGCTCTCTGCGCGACCGACATCCCTGGCCCTACCCTGGCAGTCCCGACCTTTGCCCACACCTCCCACCTGGCCCTCGCCTGAACCCCCCGGACTGGGGCCCTGACCTCGGAGCCCTCTGCCCCTCCTTTCCCAGCCCTCTGGCCGGTCTTGCTCCGGCTTACATTTTCTTGGCCACATCCGTCTCCCGGAACTGCTCCTTCACCATGGTGACGCTGCCGGGTACCCCTCGAGACTCGGGGAGCTGGACGAGAAAAACGATGTTCCTACACCTCCGGGGAGGACTTCTCGACTCGTTACTGACACATTCGCGGCATCCTCTCGGCCACCGTAAAGCGCCCCGCGTAACGTTTCCGCTTCCGCTACTCGCCGAGCGTCTGTCAAGAGAGGCTCCGGGCAGGCCGATGGTCAGTCCCGCTTACACTCCCATCTTGTGGCGCCTCCTTGAAATTGCATCAAGGCCGGTCCTGCATTTTCAAAATCCCATTTCTCCCTCATCTGAAACCTGCAGAGAAACTACAACGCATTGCCTCTGGTCTTTTGGACAACCAGAGAGCCAAAAATTGCATAAAATCAAAGTCGTTATCAACGTTAATACCATCTTAATTAAAGCCTCTAATTGTTTAAGAGAGTTGGAGGCTAAAATGAACCATCCCAAGGAACAGAGGGCACCATCTGGACGACCAACAAAATAAATAAGGCAGAAAACATGGCTGTGCATACGCCTTCAATTCACAAAGTTAATTTGAAAAATAACAACAACAATTAAATTCATGTTCTTGATTACAAAAACAGAAGCTGAAAATGTCCATTTAGAGTGAAAAGTAAGCCACGATGAGCTAGGGAAACAAGATGAAGAGAGAATAGGAAAGAAAGATTGCTCATGTATTGAAATAAATTGCTTGCCTCCAGCCTGTGACAATCTGTGGGAGGTGACCCTAATGTGACATCCTAGTACAGGAGACTAGCAAGGAAAGCACATCAACATAAGACTCGGTGCTACAGAAACTAAAATTTATTTACTATTTTGAGACACTCTAAACAGAATCCAGTAAAGTAGATCAACAACCTTTGAATTTTATGAAGGGATACTATCTAAATTTCAGACTCCACAAATCCTTACTAATAAAACAATAATGTTGCAGATAAAAAACAAAGTAAACCAGATTTTCCTAACCTATTTTAGCAGGTAATCACTTATTATATCTTTGAAGTAATGTTGACAATAGTATACCAACAAGATCTTATGAGTGACTAGAGGTCAAGAGCAAAGGTTCTGGAACCACAGTGCCTCCAAGTTGTGTGACTTAGGGAAAATTACTTAACCTTATTGTGTTTTAGTTATTTATCCATTTATAAAAGAGGTAAGTAATAGGTACCCTATTTCTTAGAGTTGGTGAAAAGGTTAAGTGGCATAATGAAGGTAAAAGTAGTTAGAATGCAACCAGGTATATAGCAATCTCTCAATGAATATTAACTCTTCTTATGAAGCATGTAGGAAAGCTGCCCTCAAAGCCTGTGTCCCGGTCTCTGGTCCACACTAACCTTTGGGAAGCTCTTTCCTAGTGTCTCATATTCTTTGACACTCATATTCTTTGATCTTTACATGTCTCTTATACGTTGAACAACTAAATTTCTGGATCAAACAAGTACTCATTAAAAGCTCAATTTTGTAAGAACTAAGATTTGTCACAGTGATCAGACAAGAAGAAAAAATACAAGACATCGAAATCAGAAAGGAGGAAGTGAAACGCTTTATTCGCAGATAACGTGACATTGTACATAGAATCCCTAAAGACTACACCAAAAAAACCCACTAGATTTAATAAATGGCCTGGCCGGTGTGGCTCAGTGGCTGAGCGTCAACCCATGTTCCAAGAGGTCACTGGTTTGATTCCTGGTCGGGGCACATGCCCAGGTTGCGGTACCAATCCCCAGTGGGAGGCATTCAGGAGGCAACCAATCGATGTTCTCTCTCATCGATGTTTCTCTCTCTCTCAAATCAATAAAGAAAAATAAAATAAATGTATTAGGAAAAGTAGTAGGATAAAAATTAATATCCAGAAATTGATGGCATTTTTTATACATCAATAATGAACACTCAGAAAGAGAAACTTAAAAGAAAATACCATTTACCATTGCAACAAAAAAATTAAGATAACTAGGAATAGACTTAACCAAGGAGATAAAAGACCTGTTTTCAGGAAACTACAGGACACTGAAAAAAGAAACAGAGGAAGATATAAAAAAAATGGAAGCATATACCATGTTCATGGACTGGAAGCATCAACATCACTAAAATGTCCATACTTCCCAAAGCAATCTATTGATTCAATGCAATCCCTATTAAAACACCACGGGCATATTTCACAGATCTAGAACAGTATACTCCAAAAGTTTATATGGAACCAAAAAGACACTGAATAGCTGTAGCAACCTTGAAAAGAACAATGAAGTTGGAAGGATCACAATATTGGATATTAGATTAAACTTCAAAACCATTGTAATAAAAACAGCCTGGTGCTGATGCAAGAACAGGCATATAGATCAATGGTACAGAGAAGAGAACCCAGAAATCGACCCAAGCCATTATGCTCAATTCATATTTGACAAAGGAGGCAAGAGCATACAATGCAGTAAAGACAGTCTCTTCAATAAATGGTGCTGAAGCCCTGGCCGGTTTGGCTCAGCGGTTAGAGCACTGGCCTGCGGTCCAGAGAGACCCGGGTTCGGTTCCCGCTAAGGGCATGTACCTGGGTTGCAGTTTGTCCCCGGCCCTGGTTGGTTGTGCGGGTGGCAGCCACTCGATGTGTTCCTTTCATGTCGATGTTTCTCTCTCTCTCTCTGTTCCTCTCTCTCCCTCCCACTCTACCTGAACAAAAAATGGAAAAATGTCCTCGGGTGAGGATAAAAAACAAACAAACAAACAAAAAAATAAAAATAAAAATAAATGGTGCTGAAAAACATTGGACAGGTACATGCAAAAAAGTGAAACTAGACCTCCAACTTATACCATACACAAGAATAAACTCAAAATGGATACAAGACTTAAATGTAAGTCATGAAACCATAAAAATCCTCAAAGAAAATGTAGGCAGCAAAATCTCAGACATCTCATGTAGCAGAATTTTCACCAATATATAGCCTGGGGCAAGAGAAACAAAGGAAAAAATTAATAAATGGGACTATATCCAACTAAAAAGCTTCTGCACAGTTGCCCTGGCCAGTTTGGCTCAGCAGTTAGAGTGTTGGTGTCGGCCCGCAGACCAGAGAGTCCTGAGTTCGGTTCCCGCTAAGGGCATGTACCTCGGTTGCAGTTTGTCCCTGGCCCCAGCTGGGGTTGTGTGGGTGGCAACCCATCGATGTGTCTCTCTCACATCGATGTTTCTCTCTCTTTCTTCCTCCCTTTCTCCCTCCTGCTCTGCCTGAAGATAAATGCAGAAATGTCCTCAGGTAGGATTAAAAACAAACAAACAAACAAAACCTTCTGCAGAGCAAAAGAAACCGGCATCCAAATGTAAGGGGAACCCCCTTCTTTGGGAGAACATATTTGCCAATGATATAACAGATAAGGGGTTAATTTCCAAAATATATAAAGTACTCATACAACTCAACAAAAAGAAGCCAAATAATCCAGTTAAAAGGGCAGAGGACCTAAATAAACACTTCTACAAAGAGGACATACAAATGTCCAAGAGACATATGAAAATATGCTCAGTGTCACTAATCATCAGAGCGATGCAAATTAGAACTATTATGAGATATCACCTCACACCTGTCAGAATGGCTGCTATCAACAAGTCCTCAAACAACAAGTGCTGGTGAGGTTGTGGAGAAAAGGGTACTCTAGCACACTGCTGGTAGGAATGCAAACTGATGCAGCCACTATGGAAAACAATGTGGTATTTCCTAAAAAAGTTAAAAACCAAACTGCCATTTGACCCAGTGATCCCACTTGTATGAATATATACTGAGAAGCCTGAAACACCAATCAAAATCATAGCAGCACTATTTATAATTGCTAAGATCTGGAACAGCCCAAGTGCTCCTCAGTAGATTAGTGGATAAAAAAGCTGTGGTACATTTACACAATGGAATACTATGCAGCTGTAAAAAAAGAAAGATTTCTTACCCTTTGAGACTGCATGGAATGACCTGGAGAGTATTTTGCTAAGCAAAATAAACCAGTCAGAGAAAGACAAGTATCACATGATCTCACTTATTTGTGGAATCTAATGAACAAAATAAACTGAGGAACGAAATAGATTCAGAGCCATGGAAGTAGAGAGCAGACTGACAAATGTCAGAGGGAAGGGGGGTGAGGGGTGGGAAGAGACACACCAAAGAACTTTTTTGCATATGTGCATAACCAATGGACACAGACAATAGTGAAGTGAAGGCATGGTGGGGGGGTGGGAGAAGAGAGGAGGGGGGGTTAATGGTACATCTGTAACACTTTCAACAATAGATAAATAATAAAAAAGGAACTAACATTTGAAGAAAAAGATTATTCATTTTTCATAAGAAAATCAACAGAGAATCTGAGAAAAATACTAATTAGCAACAAATCAAAACAGTCAGCTGGTGCATTTGGAATAACAATGGTTCTGAGTCAGCGTTTCTGCATTCTTTAGTTGTAAAAATGAGCAGACTGATCAATAGGGACTCTTACTATGTCTTCCAGCTTGATCAACTTCTAACTCAGCTGGAGGTAATTTTTAAACATTATTTTTATTTTCCAAATGTTATTTTTCAATTACAGTTGACATCAAATATTATTTTATATTAGTTTCAGGTGTACAGCATAGTGGTTAAACAATAGTATACATAGTGCTCCCCCCAGATATTTCCAGTACCCAACTGGCACCATACATAGTTATCACACTATTATTGACTATTCCCTATGCCTTACATCCCTTGACTTTTTTTGTAACTACCAATTTGTACTTCTTAACCCCTTCACCTCTTACCCAGTCTCCCAACCTCCTCCCCTCTGGCAACCACTAATCTGCTTTCTGGGTCTATGAGTCTATTTCAAGTTTGTTTGCTTATTAGACTCCACATATAAATTAAATATGGTATTTGTCTTTAAACTGTAATTCATTTTACAGAAATTTTAAGTAGGAACAATTCAGACACGTAATGAAATGAACTGTAAAATTGAACACGTGTTTACGTAAACCTAGTCAGCCCAGAACTGTCCCATCTCCCAATTGGCCAGTCCACAATTCTGGGGTGTGGCCAAAGATAGATGAGGCGGTGCCTTAGGCACTTTCAATCCGGCATTGGCGTGGTCAACCTCACGGTCTGGCCACAC